CTTGTCCGTCGTAAAGGCTTTGCTTGTCTGGGTTAATTTCTTAGTCCGGATTCACACCACATTCTCCTCGTCGTCCTCCTCATCATCACCACCATTATCATCCTATTGTGCTATGTATATGTCACGGAGGGCTTGCAACTTGTTTCTCCTCTCTTTTCCGTCCTAGCACTCTTTCCGATTTCATAGATGGAATCCAATCCAACAACTGCCGCCTCTCCCGATAACGTTCTTCTTAGTGTTTTTTAGGCCATCCTCGTTTCATTTATTTATTTCTTGTCCATTCCTCTGGCTTTTAGTTAGTCCCTACCTTTTTCTCGCGGCGTCCGTGGCTAAGGCGTTGCGAGTCCGACTCGTAAGCCAGCATACCGCGATCGAAAGCCACTGCAGGCTGCGTGGATTTTTGTCGTGGTATGGGACGTCGCAGGTCGACCCAGCCTAAAATAGGTACCAGGATGGGCTGTCCTGGGAAAGTAAAGACAGCCGGCGTAATGCTGACCACATTACCCACAGAGTGCTGATGGTCTGTACAAATATGGGACGCTCTGCCCATATGCCCGATGCGCCGAAAGGCGTGAAAAAGGAACTTTACTTTTTTTTTAACTTATTTATCTGCATGATGTGCCCAGTATATCGCTATCGTCTTCGCCGTATAACTGTTTATACCATTAGTTGCACAGATATTTTTTTTTAATTTATTGTAGACACAGTATTAGGTTTAGGTTTTTTTTTTTTTTTTTTTTAGTATCCAGAAGGCATGAGTTGTTAACCCTTAGGCTCGGTATTATGGATATCGCAACCCTTCGGCCTTAATCCCATGATAAATACAATAAATCTGGGAGAAATGTGGCTTTTCTGCCTACCCCCGGAAGTAAACCCGGACCACAAGGAGTTCGTCATCCGGTCACCACGCAATACGGTTTAGCCAACTAAGCTAGCGAGCCGCGCATGTTTAGGTTTAAACGACGGATCAACATGGTACAAGGGTAGTAACCCATTAGTGCGCCGTTCTATTTCTAACTTCAGCCTGCGTCGGAAGAATCTCAGGGCAGTGCACCAACTCCGTAAAACCCACAAGGGTCCTGAAAATACTTTGGGTAGAGCTTACTACTCAGAGACTAGCGGAAATTACTAGAAGTCCACTTGAAAAAATCCCCGCCGTGGCTTGAACCCGGGACCTCCAGCACCCGAGGTGGACGTCATGCCCCGAGAGCATTCAGCCCCCTCCCCCGCCCCCGATACAGCATTACGTTCCAGTATGTTTATTGTCGTTGTTTTGTTTTTTATTAGACTTATGCCTGGTTAATATAAAATGATTTAACGTATGAAAATATTTTAATCGCTTGAGACGAACTCTGTTCTTATTCCATAGTTTGTAGCTCCAGCTGGCGAACATACAGGGCTTATAAAGGCACCATTTAGCAGGGGTACCTAGCTAGTCATACTTCTTGGTGCACTTGTTCCTGCAGTTTGGCGCTGTCGTTATTGGAAGTGATCTTTTGATTCCTAATTTCATAAATATAGCTTTCGATGTTTCAAGTTGTCATTGTAGTAGTAGTAGTAGTAGACTTTTACCCCACCAGGACATCACACAAGCGATAAACACCCGATGACACAAAGTGCCACCATGTGGATGAGGATAACCCGTAGAGAGGTCCCAGAAACCGCGTTCAGCCATTAGACAATATTTATGGTCGGGCTTCATTGCATTGCAGGGCTTTGAATAACGAAAAATCACAAGGAGATGATTAAGGTTTAGTAATATGTTGTCATTTTATATTTCTATTTCTTTTTTGTGAATGCCAATCAGTAGACTATTTATATGCGAGTTTTTCGCCTATCATACTACAAGTTCCGACAAATAAGTAATGAGTCTAATTGCATAAAAATTAAAATAATCAACAGTTGAAGATATAACCTGTGTCTGATAAAAGTAAGTCCCTTGTGCATTGATAGAGCAAGTAGCGTGTTCTAACAAACACTGGAACGACCTCTGTTGTTTTCCTCTTGTTATGTCCCTTAAAGTCGATGTTACGGCCGTTTGGATGTCTTCAGTATCGTCAAAGAAGCGTCCTTTCAATGGTACTTTAATTTTGGGAATAGAAAATAGTCACAGCGGGACATGTCTAAGGAGTAGGGTGGATGGTTAAGAACACGCACTGGTTTTGGGGCCACAAATTCCTGTACAACTACCGCCATCTGAGTCAGTGCATTTTTATGAAGAAGAAGCAAATTGCTAGATGAAAAATACTACCTGGCAAGCACCTTTTTTTCTTGCCAAAATCTTCCACTAACATTTTCGAATACTCTCTGTATTAACACCGATTTCATCTACCATCATCCTCATAGTCGAACAACGATCTTCCTGTATCCGTTCTGCGAATTTTGCACTGAGTTCCTCAATGCAAACAAAAATTGGGCGTCCAGGTCTAGTTGCATTAATAATCATTTCCACGTCAGTTTTGATTCGTAAATACCAGCTATAAAATTGTGCACGAGATAAACAATGATCCCCATAAACTTGTCGCATTAATTCAACTGTCGCAATGGCGCTTTTTCGGAGTTTGAAACAGATTAAATTTTTTAGCTTCATGCTAATTACGTAACAATGCACCTCTGACTAGGTTAACATAATGGCGGCTTGTTTGTTGTCTGCTTATCGGGCAGCGATGAAAGGTTGCCAGATCATAGACGAAGGTTGCCTCTTTAGATTCCATGCTATAATTCATAGATGGCATTTTTGTCTCAGCTATAATAAAATCAGTCTAATTACTTAATTTTTGGACCTTGTCTATACAGATAGGTCTGTTGTGACAGATTAGTTTATAAGGTGGTGTTTTATTGTAAAGGTGAATGAACACTGCTTGAAAACGGAGAGCCCCGAGTAGAGCGTCACTACACCCAGTATGAGAATGGAGGTGGAGGCAGCTTTAATATCGCTTGAGAGCAGCACATCCCGACATTTTGTGATTGTAACAGATTGAAAGAGCATGCTTGGGAAAACTGAAACGTGTCCTGTGCTTAGAGTGGCTTGCATGTCTTGATAAGACCCAGACCAAGATCAAGGGCATATCATGTTTTTGTTGTTGTTGTCCAGGACATTCAGTTGTAGGAAGTAACGAGCAGATTCAGGATTAGCTGCTGCGTCTACTCTGAGCAGTGAGCTGCTATATAATAAAGCGGATGTGCTGAAGAGTGAATGGAATCAAATGGACACAGTATCCCCCGTGTATGTTCCGCGGCCCTATAATAGGTAAACATGAATAGACCCACTGCCTACCCAAAAGCATGTCGTAAGAGTCGACTTATTAGGAGCTTCCTTCGAAGCCGGAGTGTAACTGCCTAGGAGGCAAGAAACCAACAGTTTGCATACTGAAGTGACAGATTTGTCAAACTGATGCACACGCAACACTATCTGGAACAGGACCACAGTCCGGAAGTGAACGAACAACCAGAACTTTCCACCAGAGTTGACAGCTGGTGAACGCAAAGAGGAAGAAGAAATGGACAATATAAAAGAATTTACAGAGAATCCAAACACTGAAAGACAAATTCCAGGGTGGGAGCTTGTGAAAGATATTCAACACTGAAGGGGAAACAGAGGCGAACTTTTAATCAGGTTGCAGTCGGTAGTGTTAGCATATCAATTCTTCTTTAGTTATTAAAGAAAAGGACGGAGTACGCGTCGGAGTGTCCCTAGAGCAGTGCTGTCAAAAGACACGTGTCAGCTACTAGGTGTGAAATGTTGGACATTCGCATATTTTAGAAAGTCTTTAACAAGATGGAGGAGGCCAGTTCCAATATTCGACGCCTTTCTTTAGCAAACAGTTCCTATAATCGACGCCTTTCTTTAGCAAACAGTTCCAATAATCGACGCCTTTCTTTAGCAAACAGTTCCAATAATCGACGCCTTTCTTTAGGAAACAGTTCCAATAATCGACGCCTTTCTTTAGCAAACAGTTCCAATAATCGACGCCTTTCTTTAGCAAACAGTTCCAATAATCGACGCCTTTCTTTAGCAAACAGTTCCAATAATCGACGCCTTTCTTTAGCAAACAGTTCCAATAATCGACGCCTTTCTTTAGCAAACAGTTCCAATAATCAACGCCTTTCTTTAGCAAACAGTTCCAATAATCGACGCCTTTCTTTAGCAAACAGTTCCAATAATCGACGCCTTTCTTTAGCAAACAGTTCCAATAATCGACGCCTTTCTTTAGCAAACAGTTCATAAAATATTGTATGGGGCCTATTGTTAGAAGGCTCCTCGGCCATAGACCTGTACTGAGCTGGGGGAGAGGTGGTGGCGGGGGGAGATATCCAACCGCTCCTGGGGATTGTTCCCCAACCAGCCATGCCAGACAATCTCAACAGCTACAAAGCACATCACGCCATATACACACACACACACACTCACACATACACATAAACACACACACACTCACACATACACACACGTCTGCATGCATGTACGCGTCTACACACACCCATGCTCAATCACTTACACTCGCACACGCACGCGCGCGCATACACACACGCGTGCTCGCATACACAAACAGACACGCATACAAACACACGCTCGCTAGCACACACGTATACACAGAAACAAAACAAACACACGCACTCACTCACGTACGAAATACTGTTTTTACACACAAACAACGGAAGCCACGTGAAATTCAAAGGGTAATTGGGTAACGAGCTCAGGGTTGGCGCAGGCTGAAGGCAGTCGTCAACGAAGCTATGAACAAAGGAGGTTGCGTAGTGGTAGCAGTTTTCGTTATTGTGATAGTAGAACTAGTAGTGGTTGTGACTTTTTCATACGTAAATTAACTGTGATTAATTCATAGAACTAGAATATGATAAAAGAACTTTGTCGCTGTTTGTTATTCCTTGCAATTTGTGCTGTGTCGTGAGGTATCTGTTTTCTTGGACATCCGGTTGTCAGGAGTGTTTGAGAGGGTCACAGTAAAGTATTATACTTTAGCACGACATATAGTCTAGATTATGATGCCATAACATAAGGCTGAGGATTGAAAGGAACAATCAGGAAGTGGGTGAAAGCCTAAGTAGTGGCCAGAAGCGAGAATGTAAGCCAACTCAGCTTAGACGACCTTGCACACACGTGCCTGCCCTTGCCACTCGCCCCTCAAACCCTGACACCAAGAGACAAGACAGCTAACGTTGTATATCTGATCGTGTTCAGTGATTGTGAACGTCGCAGGCTCAGTATTGCCTGTGCTCAGATAGTCTAACGTTGTATATCTAAACGTGTTCAGTGATTGTGAACGTCGCAGGCTCAGTATTGCCTGTGCTCTGATAGTCTAACGTTGTATATCTGATTTTGTACAGTGATTGTGAACGTCGCAGGCTCAGTATTGCCTGTGCTCTGATAGGAGAGCCCACAATCTGCCTGCTGTGTGACCCCATGTACAAGCTGGACTCTGAGAGCAGAGAGGCTGTCTGGAGATGGCTGCGGAAGCTCAAGAATATGAACAAGACTATCATTATCGCCACAGATCAGTAAGTTCCTCTTATGTTGCCCAACTGTATATGCCCATGTTCAGTTATCTTAACGCTTTCTACTGCATCGGTTTGGTTTGGTTTGTTTCAAATAGCGGATCAACAACATGGTACAAGTGTAGTAACCCATAAGTGCTCCGTTCTACTTTTTAACCTAAGCGTGAGTTCGAAGAATCTCAACACAGTTCACGAATTCCGTTGAGGATCCTGAAAAACTTTGGGTAGATTTTTAAATCTAAATTTTGCCCAGGCAGCGCCGTCAGGCTACTCTTTTAGTTTTTCCAACTGCCAATGTAATTTTTTTTACGTGCACAACTATACACACAGGCGTCTGATCTCACTACCCAGAGACCAGAGACAATTACTAGAAGTCCACGTAGACAAAATCCTAACTTTTATTGGGGCTTGAACCCGGGACCTCCGGGCCTCGAGACCACTCTCACCCCCGCTCCCTCCACTCCCGTGTGCCAAAAGTAGACCAAATACCTCGTTATAACAAAGAAAAAATACTGCTATCTGGCCACCCTCGTCGTCATGTTAGTCCTTATCGTCATTATCATCTTTGTCATCATCATCTTTGTTATCACCATGCTTATCATCATCGTCCTCATCATCATCTTTGTAATCATCATCATAGTCATCACTATAGCCATCATATTATTGTCACCGTTGCCATCATCGTTATCATCAGATTTCTCATACTCATCCTCACGGTCATCATCATCGTTTTCTTATTCGGGTTCTTCATCATCATCGTTTTCTTCATCATCATCTTTGTCATTGTAGTCATCATAAGCTTTGTCATAATTATCACCATGGTCATCATTATCGTCATTATAACAGTCGTCATCATTATCATCACTAAACATCATGATCCTTGTCGTGGTCATCGTCTTCGTCATCATAATTATATCATCATCATCATCGTCGTCGTCGTCGCAATCATCATCGTCGTCATCATCTTTATCGTCGTCGTCATCATAATCGTTGTCATCATTATCATTATCATCATCATCGTCGTCGTCATTATCACCCACCATCATGATCCTTATTGTCGTCATCATCACCGTCGTGATCATATTCATATAATTATTATCGCCACCATCACTATTATCATCATTATCGTCGTCATCATCATCATCGTCACAACAATAATTTTTGTCATCAAAGTGGTCGAGAAAATCGACATCATCAACGTCATGTCTGGTCTGGCTACCCTTCATTCATCATGCAGCTTGCATCATTCAGAGTGGACAAAGATGGCCCTAGTAGCCACCAAACATTCACATCTCAAGACTACGCTGACCTTAGTGAATATATGATCATCTGTAGCCGAGGGGTACGAACATGTGTCGTAGCTTCGAAATACACGGTTCCTTTTATCAGCAAACCGTTGTGTTGTTGATTTTGACACTGGTATGTAGCATCGATCATACAGAGAACAATGGCAGACTAATAAAGTAATGGTTTCTTTGTAAACCCACATACAGACAACCAATGCTCGGGGTTGGTTCGCAGCATTTTGTAGAGGAAATGCGACTTAGTATTAATGCTGATCTCGTCTTACTGAATCTCATTTTCATCTTCTGGTACTTTGTGGTGTCAAGATGAGGTATAATTTGGGGGAACGTGTCTTGTTATCATCATCATCATGTAGCAAGTCCTTTGCAAAACGTCGCTCTCACCACAGTCTGCCTGAAAGAAACTCGGTCTCTCGCCAGCTCTCCCACCTCATGTACTTTTATACTCAAAGAGTCGCCTATATCATGTGCCCATCTTCGTTTTGGTCGGCCCCTGCCCCTCCTCCCTGGTGCCATGCCTTCTGCTATTATTTACCAGTCCGTCGTGGCTCTTGATATGACCAAAATATTTCAGCGTCTGAGACAGGTTGCTGTTTATTAGCCAATCTTCCTTGATGTTCTGATCTTTTAAGATGTCAGTATTTCTCCTCTTTTTTGTCCAAGATATTCTGAGAATCTTTCTATAGCATTTTAGCCCAAACGCCCCTATTCTCTTTCTTAAGAACTGGGAGATAGTCCACGACTCACATCTGTATATTGATACAGGGAAGATGCATTCTCTCAAAATTCTAATTTAGATCTCCTTGCTGGTGCTTAACCATAGACTTTTTAGGCTGTTTATATCTTTGCATTGCAAAGGCCATCCTCCTTTTCATTTCTGTCAAACAGTCTCCCTTTGTGCGCTTAGTAAATGGCACTCTGCTATTCTCCCTGTCCGTGTTTTGCAGAATCGACCTCTACTTCTCTTCGCGACTGGTCTGAACATTATGGCTTGCTGTTGTATCCTGTTTGTTAGCATCCGCGCGATATGGCCAAACCATTTCACCTAGGGTTTTTTTTTTTCTAATAAAATCTATTGCTACCGCTAACCGTATTTTCCTTTTGGTTTAATCATTTGTGAATTTATATTGTTTGTTAAATTAAAACACATTGGTAGGCATCTCTTTTCAGTTGTTGTTTCTTTTCTCTATATCTGTCTTTGACTTGGTCTGTCATTGCTAGCAAAGGGTTGGTAAGAAGATATGAATTTGCTGGAGTTAAATCACTCGACCAGCAGTTCCTATCTCAGTATACCACACACCAATAATACTGTATATCATAATGCAGGAGCGGCTGGCCGAACGGTTAGAACGCTGGGCTCCTATCTGAGTATACTAAAGGTTAGTGCGTATCCTTTACAGGACTTTGCAGAACCAACCCCAACAGCCCCTGACTGTTGTGTTTTTTCTAGGCAAATTCACGTCCAGTAGTTTGCCATTGCTCTCTGGACGGTCGGCTTTCTTGATACCACTGTCGAAACCAAAGCAAGGCGCATGGCCCGCAGCTGGGATCGAACCCGGCATCTCGGCATTACGAAGCGTTCGCATCGACTTAGCCACAGAGCCGACATCTCAGTATACTACACACCAATAATACTGTATATCATAATGCAGGAGCAGCTGGCCAAACGATTAGAACGCTGGGCTCTCAAGCGGGAGACCCGGGTTCGAATCCTCGGTAAGGCTGGGGATTTTTTTCTGTCCGGGGCAAAATCAAACCCTCACCTGCACATTCGTGGCGACAGCACTAGCCATGCGGCCGTAAATACTCAGGCTCAAAGACCCCCTGCCAACACTGCAAAACTGGTATATAAGGCAGTAACTGGCAGTTATCATAATACAGTGGTTGCCAGTTACCAAAGATCTGTCAGTCGCATATATCAGAAGATCTGTCACAGACCCTATTTTATTTCATAAGCACATAGAAGAATTTATTATACAAAGTAGACCATTTGATGTGGCGAATATCAGTTGTAAAGAACAAATCGCTTATCCCTGGCAATTTTTCTTGCTTGCATTTTAAAAAAACCTTAATTTGACGAATTTCTGTTGTGGAGAACGGTTTGTTTGTCCCGAGCTACTTTTTTTTTTTTTTGCTTTCATTTTAAAAAAAACCTTAATTTGACGAATTTCTGTTGTGGAGAACGGTTTGTTTGTCCCGAGCTACTTTTTTTTTTTTTTTGCTTGCATTTTAAAATCTCGGATGTGACGAATCGAATTTCTGTTGTAAAGAACAATTTGTTTGTCCCCGGAATTTTTTTTTCACTGTTGGACTTTTTGTGCGAATCAGAGGAATATCTTATAAGAAAAACCATTTCTTGGATCCCCACTGATCAGGTCTACACTGTAAATAACGGGAAGGCTTTCACTCAAAATATGACCCTTTAAACATCCTCCGCGGATTCCCGAGAGGTCTATTGACCAGCACATAGCACATACTAAAATAACATTTTCGTCCGACAGAATTTCCGAATCCCTGACATCTTTGTTTAATGTCTGTGACAGGTTGCAGGAGATCGGCAAGCATGCAGCTTACATTATGATTCTTGTGGAAGGTAACCCGGTGTGTGTGGGCACAAACAAGGCCATAGAATCCATCTGCTGCAAGGGCTACACGCTGTTTGCCAAAATGGATCCCAAGAATTCAACTGGCTCCATCAGCTTATTCTACACGATGCTGAGGGAGAAGTTCCCCAACTGCCAGGTGGTGTATTTTGGGAAGGTGCTTGTATGGTGTTGGTTAAAATCTGTAAACTGTACAGAGTAGTATAGATGATGTGTTGTTTCTTCTTCTGCGTTCGACATCAGTCATGCTAAACATTGAGTCCCGTCTGGGTGACAAAAAGGATTGTGCGTTAAAGGTCGCCACCGGTCTCCCATAGCTTCTCTTGCAATGTGGCTCCCTTGGGCCAGATCCACAGTAAAGATGTATTGTAATTAGGTCGATCTATTTTATATATAAATATTGTATTGTAGGTAATATAACTTGTAGACACACGTTACATTGTACAGTCATCTATAGACTTTATATTGTAGCATAGTCAATAGTTCTTATAGACAAATTACTTTGTAGTATAGTCCATTTAACATATACACGCATTAATTGTAACTGACTCAGAAAGCATGCTGACGAAGATCAGGACAGGCATTCTTCGTGCAGAGAGGCATGCTTTACTGCGGGGGACCCGGTTGAGGAGTATTGTCTGAATTGTTTCACCAAGATACGCCGGTATGTTGGGAAATGAACAGGCAGACTGATTGGCTGGCTCTGCACAACTTGGTGGAATACTGATGCATGATAGGGCAGACATGATTAGTGTCTTGTGGGAGAGCGTGACAAGTTCGGAGGAGCAGATAGATTACCACAGTCTGGTGAGATTGATGCGGGGGGAAAGGGGTGGTGACGAGAGGTTTTGGCAGATGCTCGAGGCTTAGAGGAAAGGCAAGACAGACGTTAAATCAGAAAGCTGTTGGCATCATTAGTATCAGAACTCTTTGCTGGCCGCTGAAGATGGGGACGGAGCGCTTATGGGACCACCCTGAATGCTGTGACTCAACTCAATTGAACACTACATTGTAGTGTAGTTAATAGATCTTATACAGACACATTACACTGTTGTGTAATTGATAATAAGGCTTTATGCCAAAGCCAGTTGTACTATCACGCTAAGCGGATACACAGTGAGCTGGTTCCGAAAACAGTAGGAGTCCACCAAGGCTGCCTTCATTGTTTAACATATTCTTAGAAAGAGTGTGAAACGTGCACCTCAATAGTTGAGTAAAGTAAAAAAGTAAAGGACTCTTTCCACGCCATTAGGCGTATAGGGCTAGACCTATGTTTTTATATACCAATCGGCACAAGATGGGCGATGTGGTCAGCATCTGCCTTTACTTCCAGGGACTGCACCCGGTACCCACTCAAGGCTGGGTCGACCTGGGAGCCAAGGTCATTTTTGGAAAAAAAATCCGGCTCCTCCAGGGAGCGAACCCACGACCTTACGATCCGCGACGAGCTTCTAGCCGTTTGGTCCCACGGCGACTCCCTTAGCAGTCGAACTAAAAAAAAAAAAAAAAAAAACAGATAAAGGCATTGAAAATGTGATGTTTTAGACAAATTCGTGGCATATCATACAGAGACCATGTCACAAGTGATGAGGTTTGCCGGGAATATTGGCATCTGTGAACTTTTCTGACTACAAGGAAAAGGGGTCAAATGTAGTGATATAGACATGTAATAAGATATAACGGCCTCTCGAAAACAGTACTACAAGAAAGGCTGAGTAGAGGGTAAGAGCAGAAGAGGCAGGCCAAGAAAGACCTTGCTAAAAAACCTGACTGACTGGACAGGCCTCAGGCATGCAGCCATGAAGTCCATCACATCTGACTGCCAAAGGCGGAGAGAGCTGATCAGTCAGTCAACAACAACTAGTGACCCAACGACACACAGAGTTACGGAATGATAAAGATGTTTAGTAATTTATAGACACATTACATTGTAGCATAGTCTTAGTTGTGCATAGTCGATAGTTCTTACGAAAACACATTGCAGTGTAGAGCATTGAACATGTAGACATATTACATTGGAGTCTAGTCGATATATCTTATAGACACATTATATTATAGTGCTGTCCACGGATCTTTATAGACACACATTGCATTGTACTTTTGCCCACAGATCTTTTTAGACAGACATTACATTACAATAATTTTGTAGACAAACAGTAAACCAAGAAATGAACTCCCTGAATACATACTATGACTAGGAAGTTCAACATGGGAAACAAAAACATATTGTAACATTTTGACCGAAGTCTTTGTCAATGAAAATCAGAAGAAAAAGTATCATGAACACCAGCACCCTCTCCCCCTCCTCCACACCGAAGAGTTACAGACGTATCAATTTTACCGCTTTTTCGTCATTATGTAAACGATCTTTCATGTAATCAGAGCCCTCTTGAAGACACTCGGCTTCTCGCCATCTCTCCCACATCGTCAACTGTTTTACCTACAATATCTCCTACAGCTGTGCCCATTGTTGGCCTGGTGGGCTTCTCGCCATCTCTCCCACATCGTCAACTGTCCTACCTACAATATCTCCTACAGCTGTGCCCATTATTGGCCTGGTGGGCTTCTCGCCATCTCTCCCACATCGTCAACTGTCCTACCTACAATATCTCCTACAGCTGTGCCCATTATTGGCCTGGTGGGCTTCTCGCCATCTCTCCCACATCGTCAACTGTCCTACCTACAATATCTCCTATAGCCTGTGCCCATTGTTGTGCTAGTCGGCTCCTTCCCCCTTTTCCCAGGACTATGCCCTTGGTTACCGCACTTTGTAATCCACCCTTTGATATGTTCAAAACCGCTTGGATGGTCAAAATATTTCAGTTGTTCATTCTGAAGTTAAGATTGCTTCATTATTCTGTACTACAGATATTTTATGGTAACACATCCCATGATATAATCTATGATTATTCCACAATATTGAGCCCACAATGATATCAAATGAGCAAAGAATTACTAAAAGGCACAAAAATAAGAAACAAATGGTTTAAGAAAAAGAGGATGTCTAAGGGAACCATTAGGAAGAACATTATTTTGAGAAGCTAAAAACGATGGACTGAACTCCGTGTCAGAAATCGAGAGTTGCATTCAATGGAGGTGAGAGGAGGAATAGAATGCAAGATCTATATGATGTCTGACGGCACGCGAAGGATGATAATGTAATATACAAATATTTCTAGGTAATATATAACCCATGATCTAATGTACCGCTAAGTAAAGTGAAAGCCCATTTTCCACTCTTTTAGGCGTATAGGGCACATAGGGCTAGACCGATATTTTATAGGCCAATCGGGACAAGATGGGTGATGTGTTCAGCATCACACCGGCTGCCTTTACTTCGCGGGAGTGCACCCGATACCTACTCGAGACTGGGTCGACCTAGGAGCAAATGCCAATTTTTGAAAAATAAAAAAAAAAATAAAAAAATATCCGTGGAACCCACGACCTTTCTATCCACGGCAAGCGTCTAGCCGCTCCGCCAGGTGACTGTGTAATATACAACTGTCTCAGTATAATATATCTGGTGATCTAGTCAACAATTATTTCAGAATAATATATCCCAGGATCATCTGTTCCACAGCTTTTCCACGGTAACCAAGATCTGCTGCATTTCCACATTCCCTACGAGGAGGACCGCCTTGCTGACTTATTCGAAACTTTAGAAAACATCAAGAAGAACGTCAAGGTAAGAAACTTTATTAGATGTAACACCTTTTATCCGTTTGTTTTTGATTGACTAGTCACTAACATAACATAACCCTTGACTAGTTTAGAGTTGAGGAGGTGTATCCATGGAGAAACTAAAACACACAAAGAAGCTTCTGATGTCTTGCAATTTTGTTGTTTAATTTGGTCTTTTACACATTTGTTAGCTTTCTGTTTTAAAGAGATCATTTGTAAAATTCGTCTAGAGCAATTTTGTTCGAAATCCCTTAACTTTCCTTTTCATTTTGGCAGTGGAAATCTAACTCACAAAACCATCCTCCCTCCCCCGTGATCTGCATGTGTGTTTGCCCGCGTGCATGCCTGCTTGCTTGCGTTTGTGTGTGTGTGTGTGTGTGTGTGTGTGCACATTTACCTTTTGTCATTATCATCACCTGCCATGCCGGTAAGCGCAGGCTGCCGTGGTTTGCAGTCTTACACGATCATCAGAATCACGGATCAGGTCAAAGTTCTGTCTCACCCCATCCATGTGATCAGGCCATTCGGGTATTTATCTCTTTGCTTTCCTCTTGCCTTCTTTGATCTTTACAGGTCAGCCAAATATTGATGTCAGGAAATATTTTAAAGGCACAATCCACTGAGTATCCAGTGGTATAGAACATATGGGGCAAGAATAATTTACCCAGTAGGCATAATAGTGTGAGAGTGGTAATCCCTTGTTTCTACAGTAAGAAATCTGAGATGCCAAACAGTTGCCCATCAGTTGCGCTCTTTCATGAACAGCTTTTACAGGCAGTGGTTTCCATTTTCCTCTTAGCAGGTTTTTATAAAATATTTCAACGCTGTATATTTTTCTCTGTGTATCTCCGTCTCTGTTTCGCATCAAGAGTCCCGCTTGCTTTTACATACACTGGTTTTCATTTCCATGATAGCAGGTCTTATGAAAAAATTTCAACTGTTGTATTCACTTCTATCCCCCCCCCCCCTCCCCCCAAACATCTGTAATATAAAATCGACGTGTGAATTTGTCACAAGTACTGCACCAAAATGATAAGCAGTAGACATGTGAAATGAATGGCGTTACACAGTTCCGTCTATGTTTGTCTTATCCGCCAGTCTGTCTGTGTGTGTGTCTGTCTGTCTGTGTGTGTGTCTGTCTGTCTGTCTGTCTGTCTGTCTGTCTGTCTGTCTGTCTGTCTGTCTGAACTCATAACAAACAGTGATATGTAGTCACATTAAAGCTGCACTTGTTATTCTGACTGTAATTTATAGGTCAACTCTGTAATGTTGAACTCGGGTTTCCATGTAATGCTGCAAAATAAAGTCCGAATAGCCAAAAGTTAACATTCAATGGAGTTATATCCCTTTGGTGCCTACATAATTTTACGTCCCTTGAATGAGGTTCACTTTCAAACTTGAAATCGTTCTCTTAGCAGTGACAACCGGGACAGCAAACTGGCTAGATCAGTGTGTCCCAGAATTCTGCCAAGAGCGGTCAGTAGAGACGTATATCAACCCTGACCATTTAAAGAAACACACGTGCAAACTACAATATTATCACAGATCCTCAGATGTAGCAGAAGTTATCATCGTCGTTGCCATCATGCTCTCTCGCCTCGTGCACTTGCCTACCCTAGGGATTAATTATATCCTGTCCCTATATTTATGCTAGCCGGCCCCTCCTCCTCCTCCTGCTATTATTATTTTTTATTCGTTTGAAATTTTTTTCTTTTAGGTCCGCTGTCCCGCTTAATAGGGCAAAATATTTTAGCTTCCGTGACAAGAGACTGTGTGTTAGCCAATCTTTCTTGATTTTAAGATCTTTTATGATATCAAAAGTTCTTATCGTCTCCGTCTGTGGCATTCTGGGAATCTTTATATTGCATTGTCAACTTAAAAGCCACTATTTTCTTCCTTAAGGATTGCAAGATAATGTAGCTGTCACAGACAGCAAAATACTTTTCATGTTTTTTTTTTTTTACTGCAGATGTTTATCATCAGCGCGAGGAATGTGAGTCGCCGAAGCGTTGTCACTAGACGCTTGCCTATCAATCTAGATTACAGTATCTCTTTCGACCTTCACGAAAATGGATAGAAGACATTGAAGATGCGCTGGCATTGAAAGCACATGGGGTTGGGGAACTGGCTAGGGCAAGGGATACTTTCAGGCGTATCCTGAGGTCAAGGACATTGTGTAAAAGACTTGCTGATTGATGATGATGATCTTTTTCGGAGTAAGAGTGCATCTGCCTGCTAGGCAACGATACAACAGATGGCACAGATCCGTAAAACGACTGTACGCGCAAAACTCAAGTCCTGGAACAGAGACTAAGTCCTGAAAATGACGAATAACCAGGTCTTTCCGCCCGAGTTGTCAGCCGGTGTGGCGAATTCTTTTATCTGGTCTTCAAAACTGACCTTGGCTCCCAGGTCGACGTAGCTTAAAATAGGTAGCTGCTAATTCATTGAAAGGGAGTCGCCGAGGTGTGGCCGCTAGACGGACGCCTACGGATCCGAAGGTAGGGGAAGAAGAAGAAGCAGAAGAAGAAGATGTGATGTTGACCATAGCGCCCACCGAGAGCCGATCGGTCTGTACTCCAGAAGGCATGGAAGATGGTTCTTTGCTGTACTTAGTAAGGGCGCCAAAAGAGACCTATACCTGACGTTACCGCTCCCGCCTGGGATACCATTTTGTTTCGGTTGTTGCAGGTGGAAAGCTACCGTGTGAACAAGACCAACCTGGACCAGGTGCAGATCGCCACACAAAATGCTTACTTTATTCACGGGATCGGAACCGGGCTGCAGGGCGACGGCGACGACTTTGCTAGTGAATATTAGAACATAATTATGTGTGTGTGTGTGTGTGTGTGTGTGTGTGTTTGGGATGAGTACAGTTTATTATCGTGGAATGTGTAGTTGTGAGATGTGCGGTTTATTTCGCCACAGTAGTGTATGAGAGAGACATTAGGTGAGAGCAGGGAAGGGGGGGGGGGGGTAAGGTGGCGTGTGGGGGCTGGATACATATATGTGTGTGTGCGCGGGCGCGTTTGAAAAGCCCTAGAGATACGGTAATGAGGAAAGCGGTATGTACTGGACTGTATTTCATCAATGTTATCGAACGGTTGGAACGCTAAGCTCTCAAGCGGTAGACATAGGTTCAGACCCTCAGTAAGGCAAGGGATTTTTTTTTCTGTCGAGGTAAAAAAAAATTTCACCTGCACAGTCGGGGCGACGGCACTAGCCATGTGGCCGTAAATCCTCAGGCGCAAAGATCCCCCTGCCTACACTGGAAAAGTGGTGATGAAGGTAGTTATTGGCAGTTTTTATCGAAGTCATTGCCCAGGATAGGATATGGCAGAGGAATAGACTGCTAGCCCTATAGGACATGTATGACAGTTTAAGTTATTCTGGTGCTAGTTGTGGGGGTAGTAGTAGCACTGGTACTCAGTGGTTGATGAGGTAAATATTACACTGGCTGCATTTGCTTCTCATTACATTTCCTACTACTCATTTTAGTCTCTGTGGACACGGATGCCAGGGTCAATTTTTAAACAAAAATGTGTAATGATTTTCAAATCCTTTTGAGTTTCAAAACCTTTTGAGAGGAATAGATTAGTAGTTTGTGGATTGTGGAAAAAGGGGGGGGGGGTGTGGGGGTGCTGACAAACTGTTAACTAAGGGGGCTTAAAACGTGATTTTAAAGTTTTTATTTCTACATTTTTTTTAAATTTTAAATTGTTTTGTTTTGTTGCGAATTTTTTTGTTTTGTTTTGTTAGAAGTACAAAAGTAAGCTTCACTTTAAGTTCTTTAAAAAATACAGATAGCTTTGGCATGTGAGAAACAAAAAACCGTATTTCAAGTCCACACCGATACACGCACACATCACATACAGAAACAAAACACATTCACAAGCAAACACAGAGTATAAATGCTTTTAACTATGTTTTGTTGATTTACCGTGTTCACTAAGTATTGTCATTGCATTTTATCAGTGAAATAATATAATTTATGCATTTGTTGCTATAAAAAGTCTACTTATTATTTTCTATTCCTCCTTATCTAATCTGGAGTCACCATGGCCGAGCGGCTAGACGCTCGCCTCGGATCGGAAGATCTTGGGTTCGCTCCTTGGCGGAGCCTGACTTTTTTCAAAAATGACCTTGGCTCCCAGGTTGACCCAGCCTTGAGTGGGTACCGGGTGCAGTCCCGGGAAGTGAAGGCGGCCGGCGTGATGCTGACCACATCACCCATCTTGTGCCGATTGGTCTATAAAAATATAGGTCTAGCCCTATATGCCTAAAGGCGTGGAAAAGGGTCCTTTACTTTACTTTTATACTTATCTAATTTAATGAGTCGTATAAACGACCAGTTCAGGGTTTGTTAAACAGGCTTTATACACCTTGTGCCTGAGTGGGGCGTTCATTTTAACCACCATGGTGTTCCGCCAACATGGGGGACTAATTTTGTGTCGGGGAAATCAATGTCATTGAGTAGGGGATGACTCTCAGGGTGGGGAAATCAATGTCATTAAGTATGAGATAACTCTCAGGGTGGGGAAATCAATGTCATTGAGTATGGGATGACTCTCAGGGTGGGGAAATCAATGTCATTGAGTATGGGATGACTCTCAGGGTGGGGAAATCAATGTCATTGAGTATGGGATTGAAAATGTAGAACATTTCACATATTTTGGCAGTGTGGTGTCCCTACCGGGAGGGACCGAAGAGGACATACAGTCACGTCTGAACAAAGCTAGAGCTGCTTTTGGAATGATGAGGAAGATCTGGAAATCCAACAATTACTGCAGAGGAGCGAAACTCCGCCTCTACAAGAGCATTATTTTGTCAGTTCTTCTTTATGGAGCGGAATGCTGGAGAATGACCAAAAAGGATGCACACAAGCTGTCCACTTTGCACCACACATGTCTACTTAGAATTACCAAAATCTTCGGGCCAGATACAATCTCAAACACTAAACTACTTCAAGTCACAAACCAAGAAACTTTATACAGTATGATAACT